CTGTTCTTTTTTAAAACAATGTTAAATAAAACTTTGAACAAGAAAGTACATAGTCAGGGCCCCCTGCTGGCTGAAGAAGTGTTAGGTATTCCACAGCAAGAAACAGCCCTGGGTGGACCTATCAATTACCCCGAAATTAAGCTGTTTTCATCACGTTTTTTTAGTTGTATTTTAAAGTTACATTTACTCAATACAGTTTGTCTTGACTCCAAGCTTTCATTTTTCTATTTGTGTTTTTTTATTAGTTGTTGTTTTTTGTTTTAACACAAATATATCCCTTAAGATCATTGTTAAACCTTTGTTACATTTCCATTGTTTGCATCAAAACCTACTTGTACATACTCCTGACAGTGTAATATTGAGAATATATGAGAAACAAACAGTACACAATGAAACATTAATTAATTAATTTACTTAAATACAACAATTATAAATGTATTAATTAGACACTTACTGTAAGTATCCTGACAGTTGGTCTCATTACTGGTAAATTATTTGATTACCCCACTACATTTTCTTTCATCTTTTGACACACAAGAATTGTCAGCACAAGAACTACCAGCATATGCTCAGATTAAGGGCAGCGATTTAGTCGTCATTCTAGGGTCTGGGACAATCAGGTTAAGCAACATCACTGCTACAGGGTGGAGAGCTAGGCCAAACACACACACACATTACACAAGTGATCCTCAAGCAAAACAAATCTTCACCTTAAATCAGGGGACTGGGATGACTACTACAAAGTGTGATTCTGTGATCTGTGAATAATTTGTGTATGAACTTGAGGTATTCACTGGATTACTGTTCTGCTAAAAAGTTGTGAATAAAAAGATCTGAACAAAATTAGACACACTAGATTCTATCCCATACACAGCGTAAATGTCAGTTGTCTGGAAATTTCATACTTAATATGTTTTTTTTTTACCTGGCAGATAAGATGCAAAATTCAGCTTTGTTTAAGTTTGTGAAGTAATGAAAAGATGATAAATGGCAGTACTGGAAGTTACTAACAGTGTGTGCACTTTTAACAAACACAAGGTTTCGAGTTTTTAGATGCTGTGTGTAACTGGATCCATAGGGCCCACAACCATCTCCCTTACAAAAAAATATATATTGAAATTTCATTATATTAAGTAAACTTAAGAAACTAAGTATATTTTCCAGGTATACTTTATGTAATAAGTACACTAATATCAATGTACTAGTAGTTCCCCTCACAACCAAAGCTCTTAATTTACACATTTATGAACAAAAACATAAACCAACGTTCTCATTTCTTTCCAAGTCCTTCTTTCAAGGTCTCTTAAGGTTAGGCTCTCTCCAGCCATGAAACTCTCTCTCCCTTCCATGCTGAGGAGAGCCAATCTTTTAAAGTGTCCATACACCTCTGGTGATAGGTTTCAGTTGTCCCTGAACAAGGAGATGAGTACCTGGTACTGAGTGGTTACAGCAGCTCTACCTCTATCGCCACAATACTTCTAACTTTTTTGTTTATGAAAGCCCACTTTTAAGTACACTCTCGGTGAACAACTAGTTTAATAGTTTTTATACTGCAAGTATACTTGTAAGTTTTTTAATTGACCATAATACTCAGTTTACTACTTACATATTATTTTTGCACTTTAAAATATACTACTGGGTTTGTATTTATGTATTCTTTAATACTTGAAATACACCTTTGACTCTACTTTAAGTAGACTTGAAGTTAACTAATAAAAAGACTACCAGTGGACTAAACATACTGAAATTTACAAGATATATAAAAACAAGGACTAAAAACATATTTGTTTTCTTTACAAATCAAGTTTTTTTAAAGAAATATTGCATAGGATGCCAAAAAATATAGCACTGGATGCCAAATACATATTGCATTGGATAGCCATAACAAATCAACATTCAGGAATGGGGGAGTAGCTAAGTAGCGCGCTAAATTTTGTTGCTAATAGCTGTAGCCGCTACAGTTTTATGAAATGTAGCTAACAGCTGTTGCTCCTACAAATTTTTGTGTAGCTATAGCAAAAATTTTCGCTACAGGCTTCAGACGATCCACGCAAAATCTGAACTATAGAACGCGGTCGTTAATGGGGCTTGTGGCGACTGTGTAATCCTGACTGAGCCGTGGACAGTTCGAGCAAATGGGAACGCGCTGATCACCCCTTACTATAGTAGGCTTAGCTAAGGGGTCCCTACCGAAATGTTAAGAAGAGCCATTTTGTCCTTTCAACAAAAATGAAACCACCTTGGGAGCCACAACATTTTATGTCCGTTTCACCATCTTGGCTGTAAGTATATCTCAGTATGTGCTGATGTACTAGTACAGGCTAAAAATATAACAAACACAAATTCAGACTTACTTTGCTCTGCCTTAAACTTTAGCTGAGCTGTAGCCGCTTTTCTCGCATCTCAGGAAACTTCTCCATGAGTTTCCTGTAAAATGTCTCTCAATGTTCGACTTTTTACGAAGCTACAGTCGCTTCTCATTCTCCAGCTTCTCGTTCGAATTGCCTCGTTCCAGCTTAAATGTTGTACTGCCGCTGATCTTGCTGAAATGTTTAAATGGGAGCAGTTTTATTTCCACTTTTGACAATGCTTTGCACAAAGTTGTTTGGTGCGTATTTGGTTATTGTTGTTGATTTTTGTTAGGAAAAACCCGGAATGATTGACTTTGCCTTTAGTCTAAATTTTTGTTGTATATCACAGCCTTTGGTTGTGTAAGGTTGATTGTTGGTTACACTTTTTGCTGATCTGTTTGTATATTTTTTTGTATATTTTCAATTGTATGTTTCTTTCTTGTTCACACTGTCAGTTGGGCTTGTTTGGCGTCATGTGGAGATTCACAAACATTCTGACAATCACGCTTTGACAGTAGCTAAAAAGTAGTGCACTACTTTCCAAAAAGTAGCTAAAAAATAGCCACTACCTTTTCTGGAAAAGTAGCTAAATTGTAGCTAGCTACAAATTTTGGGAAAGTAGCTACTAAGTAGCTAACTACAAATTTTTCAGTACCACAACCCTGTCAACATTACAGCTCATAATAAAACACAATAAACTCATACCTTGAAAGAACTATTAATACAATATTAATCTGTTTTGGTGTGGCTTAATAACACTGTGGACATAAAAGATCACGTTCAGTTCCACCCATGTACTATATATAAGCTATTCCACCACAAACTTCAAGCCAAGTACACTTAAACTTTATGTACAAGGTAAGAATTTTTAATTATACTTTTCTTAAATATCTCTCTATCGCTCTACTGCAATATTCAATAAAAGATCATCAGTTTTAAGATCTATGTTTCCCACATCTTCTTATTTCACGCCAAAGCCACAATATAAGCATTTACTTTAATTAAATGTGACACTGATACATTAACAAATCATAAAATTGTTGATTTTCTTCACTGTCTGACACACTTTATAGACACTGAGCATAAACAGGTGAGAAGGTAATGACAGCTGCATAGGGAGAGAACAAAAAGCTTAGCCACTTATTGTATTCAGGGCTCAAATAACAAGTGAGACTAGGTGGACAAACAAAGACAGGAATGTGGGCAGCAGGAAAGCAGCTAATGTTCAATGGCAAAAGAAAAGCAGCAGCACAAAGAGAGAGTGACACCCTAGAGAGAAGAAAAGGGCAAGAGAGTATGAGAAAGAAAGACTGAAAAAGAAAGCAAAGTAAGCAAAAACAGAAATGACGTTAACTTTTACATGTAAGTAAACTGGCTGTTTGTGTATTTTAAGTTATTTTTAAGTTCATTTAACCTGTCATAGTAAGTGAACAGAAAAATATGTTACCTTCCATTAAATAAAAAAAAAACCTCAATCTTTGTTTTTACAATGCATAGATTTTGAAAAAAACAATAACATTTCTCAATTTCAACATTTGATATGTTGTCTTTGTAGTATTTCAATTAAAAATATGGTTAACATGATTTGCATTCCACTGCATTCTCTTTTTATTTACATTCTGCATAGCGTCCTAAGTTTTTTGGAAATGGGGTTGTACGTTATTGAGTATGTTAACATACTAGAAGTTCTATAATCTCAACATTTTAAGCCACTAAGGTTACTTACTCTTTTACTTACTGTATTATGTTTTACAGTACAAAGCCTCCAACATCTACATTTATTAAAGGCAAGGCAAGTAACCTTTTTGACCATATCATAAAGACAGCAATCAAGATAACTGTTATAACAATTACGTCCACAGAATATTAAAAATGCATCCTTGATAGTTGTTAAATGTAACAATAATAGTTGTTAAAATCAACTTTAATTATATTTGTTTAATGTATTTGGGGCTCATTTTTTCTTGTTGTTTGCAGTGCTATTTATTTATAATGCAGTATTTTATTCTCTCCAGTTTTTAATTACATCCATGCTTGAAGCGATTTTACATTTTGTAACTAAAATGAAAAGCAAGATATAAACAAATAATAATAATAATAATTATTATTACTATTAATATTATTATTGCTATTATTATTATTATTGCAATTAAACAAATACAGTGTTATGCAAAAGTATGGCACCAGTTCAAATTCAAAAAGTGAAAGAAGCACCCCCTTCCCTATACAGAGGACGTACTTCTGCACATTTAAATGCAATTACTGTTTATTTGCTGAATATGCAATTAACGTTTGTTCATACACAGGAGGTATTAACTTGTTTACATTTCACAAAATTAACAAAAACCAGGGGTGATCAAAGTTTTGTATGCACCTGTATGTGTATTGGGTTTGTATAACAGACAGATTCATTTAATACATTCTTAAAGCTTTGATTCTGAAAAGTGATACTGTAATGCAGAGTTTTCCAGCTCCAGCCTCATAGTTCAGCATGTTTTCATGCAAATCCTTAACTAATAATGAAGAGCTGAAACTGATGTGATAGTGAAGGAAAACACAAATTCAAGCTAATGTTAAAACAATACGCAAACGCACAAAACACTGCATAATTTTGTAATGTATTAGTATATGGTACTTTATTGCTTTGTGCTACTCTGAACACAGCTGTATTCTGGAAGAGTTTCTCCTAAATATTTGACCTAATAAAATAACTTTGAGTGCCTTTCTAAACCACTTGTAGAAGAATGCATATATAATAGGATTACAAGCTGAATTTGACAAAGCAACCCAACAAAGCAAATCAAACAGTTGTGGTGAACCACTTAAACCAAAAAATGTCACAATGAGATTATAGATAGAAAATGGTGCCCAAAATGACAGAAAACCTCCCATGACAATGGCTAATGTTTTAGTTGCCTTTCTTTCTGCTTTACTCACGGTGGGCTGCCCTCTGGATTTATTTACATGAGAGAGAGCATTGCGGACTAACCGTGATTGCCTCTGTGCAACAAGATATATTTTCAGATATATGCTTAGCATGACAATGGTCGGAGTATATAAAGAGAACAAAGAAACTGATAAACTTGTCATGGGCCCTAGAACCAGCACACAGGCACCTTTACATATAACATCACTGTAAGCTTCTACGCCTTCAACATTTAGCTCTGGATATATAATTCCCACAGCAGCAGCAAGACTCCAACAAACAGTGATCATGAACAGAGTAGTAAGAGGAGTCATTTTACTGTGGTACTGCAGGGGGTGACATATTGCATAATATCGCTCAACAGAGATAAATGCAAGATTAAAAATAGATGCAGTGCACAACATAATGGCAAAGCTGCTGTGCATTTTGCAGAATAAAGTCCCAAAATACCAGCAAGTCTCCACAGAGCGTATCATGCTAGCAGGCATCACAGTCACTCCTACAAGCAGGTCAGCTACAGCCAGAGAGAGAGTGAGGTAGTTAGTTGGTGTGTGCAGCTGCTTGAAATGAGTTATGGCTATGATCACCAGAACATTTCCAAATAGTGTAAGAAGTATAAGGACACCAATGACATAATATACAATAACTCGCATGGCCAGTGGATAGATGAACTTCTGACAGGAGGTAGGATGATGTTCATAACAAAGAGAAATGTTTGTTATGCTCCCATTTTGACTTATGGCCATGTCCATTATTCTTTTTTCCTTTATCTGTAAAGAAATATGCCATTAAGACATATGTAGGAAATGTTTCTATAAATTAATTAGGCAAAGCAGTCATGAGTGTGAGAGAATAAAAGGCTAATTCCAGACGTATTTTCTACTTGTTTCTGAGACACGCTGAAAACAGCAAAAAGCTTATCATGCATGAGTAGCTATGTAACCCTGCTATAAATAAGAGTGTCTCAAAAACAAGCACAATGTTATTACAGTATTTTCTTTTTTTTCCATCTGTGTTTAATGACTTCAGTATCCAGCCTTACCAACGCTTGTATAGGGGGGGCAAAGCCAGCTCTGATGAAAGAGCAGCTTTCATTTATAGGTTGCCAGACCTGCATCAGGAACGCCCTTTTGCTAAATCTCTCCTATTTCCTGATCCTCTGATGGTCTATGATAATTACCAAATACAAATCAAAAACTAAGTTCACCCAGACAGATTTCAAGCTGTTGAAATGAAAGTGGTTCATAAGAATTTCCATTTTATTGCACACTGGAAATATTACCAAGCCAAGAAAATAGGAAAAAGGAAAGACAGTATATATAAATGAAATATGTCTGAGCAATATGGCATCGTGTTCTCCTTATACAGTGCTATGAAAAAATATTCGTCCCTGCCCAATTTTTTCTATTTTTGCATATTTGTTACACTGCACAGTTTCAAATCATCAAAGTACTCTTAATATTAGACAAAGATGGCCTAAGTAAACACAAAGTGCTGTTTTCAAATGCTAATTTCCTTTATTGAAGAAAAAATGCTGTTTAGCCTTACCTAGGGCCCTATGTGGAAAAGTAATCGCCCATTCGCTACTAAATCAACCAGTTAATCAAATTCAATTGACCATAGGGTTCAATTTCACCAGCCACACCCAGGCATGATTACTGCCAGACCTGCTGAATCTAAACATCACTTCAATAAAACCTGCCTGGCAATATGAAGCAGCTAAAAGGTCTCAAAAAGCAGCACATGATACCACATTCTAAAGAGATTTAAATACAGATGCAAAACAAAGTCGATAAAATCTACCAATCTGGAAAAGGTTGCAAAGCAATTCCTAAGACTCTGGGACTCCAGCAAACCACAGTGAGAGCCTTTACCCATAAATGGAGAAAACTTGAACAGTGGTGAACCTTCCCAGGAGTGGCTGGTCTACCAAAATTTCACTGCAGGCCTCACTTGCCTCAGTTAAAGTCATTGTACATGATTCCACAATAAAAAAGACAAAGGGCAAAAATGGCATTGATGAGAGAGTTGCAAGGTGCAAATCACTCCTGACCAAAAAAGAACACAAAGGCTCATGTCGCATTTGCCAATCTAGATGACCCCGAAAACTTTTGGAATAATATTCTGTAAACTGATGAGTCAAAGGTGAAAGCTTTTGGAAGACATGGATCCCGCTACATCTGGCATAAAGCTAACATTGTGTTCCACCATTAGAGCGTCATACCAACAGTCAAACATGGTGGTGGTAGTGTGATGGTCTGGAGCTGCTTTGCTTCTGCGGGACCTAGACAACCTGTCATAATTGATGGAACCATAAATTGTGCTCTCTTTCAGAAAATCATGAAGGAGAGCGCCCACCCATCAGTTTGGGACCTAAAGCTCAAGTGCAACTGGGTTATGCAGCAGGTTAATGAACCAAAGCACACAAGCAAGTCCAACTCTGAATGGCTCAAAGAAACAAAAATTAAGGTTTTGGAGTCCTGACTTGAATCCCTTTGGGATACTGTGGCAAGACCTCAAATGGTCGTTTCATGATCAGAAACCCTCCAATGTAGCAATTCTGCAAAGAAAAGTGTGCCAAAACTTCTCCACAGTGATGTAAGGCTCATTGCAAGTTACTGCAAACATCTGATGGCAGTTGTTGCTGCCAAGGGTGGCACAACCAGTTATTAGGCTTAAGGAGCAATTACTTTTTTCACATGGGTGAAAAAAAGAGGTTTTTGTCATGCTTCCCTCCGTTCCTGCTGTCTCTGCCTCCCTGCCTCCAGACTCCATTACCCAAAACCCCACTCCCGATCACATGACCACCAACCCTCCTTACATGACTCTCCAACGTTCTGCCTCACCTGACTACTGATCAATCACACCTGTTCCTTGTTATGGTTACCTGTTAGTTAGTATTCAGCCTTTGTATTCAGAGCCTTATCGAGCTTTCCATTTTGTGTATGAACCGTGATTCTGTGATCACCCTTGTGAGGGTTGCTCTAGTGGTGAACTCTTATTCCAACTTTGTCAAGGTAATCGCTCAGTGGCCGCGTATGCCTTGGAGCTGCGCACATTAGCAGCTGGTAGCGGTTAGAACGAGCCTGCTTTACTGAATGCTTTTCGTCATGGATTTAATTCTGACGTGTTAACTGAACTAGCAAGTAGAGACGATGAACTGAACCTTAGATCAGCTAATCGATATGTCAATCCGTCTGGACCAACTTCTACAAAAACGTCCAACGTGAAGAGCAGTTCCACACCCTCGAAGTCTACCCAGCTCCAGTTCCGGCTTCAGCTCCAACCCAAGCTCCAGTTCCAGAACATCGCCTGAAGCTACGCAATGCAAATCCTCAAGGCTTTTGAAAGAGGAGAGACTTTGACGTCTGCATCGGGGCTTGTGTCTCTACTGTGGTGCTACAGGTCATGTGTTATGTGACTGTCGGGCTTGCACACACAAGCATAAGGCGCCATCCCCGGGAAAGCGTGTGGAGTATTCTAATGGGTGGGGAGAGACAGAAAAGCCCACTGTCTGCAAAGGAGGCACCAATAGCAATGAGAAGATGACACAAGAATGACAGCAATACAGTGATTGTTCTATGGTTTGAGACAAACACAGTATAAGCAAAATGACTGCTAGAGCATTTAGAAGGCCAAAAACACACATTATAAAAGCAATTCAAGCAAAAGAAATCTTCTCTTGTGGACTTTCCTCTACAGGTCATTCCTCTACAGCTCATTCCAACATATCGCTGTTGTCAGAAGAAAACCTCGTATCTCCAAAATGACTAACTTCACAGGAAAAGGAAAAAAAAACATACTTTATTTTTAATGTAATCAGTGGAAACAGACTTTTTACCACATCAATTTGGGCCATTTCTTCATCCATTCATCATGAAATTTACACACAATGCAAAGGGCAAAGGCATTTTCAAATCATGTAAAAAACTGAAAAACAACAAAAATGGAGATTTCTTTTTCTTCTGACAGCAGCGATATATAAAGATATTTGTCTCTTGTCTTGTCTTTAAAGTTAATTTGTATGCATATAACCTTGAAAATAATATTTGCACATTCTCAAAATAAACTAAAAAACTAAAATGAAATATATTATGGCCTGAACATCTGTTCTTTACTGGCTAGGTAGTTTCCGGGGAAGAAATACTAACATGTTGACTTTCTCAGGCTTAAGGCAACGTTTTGCTGGAGTCACAGTGTTGCCAGCTGTAGTGAACATTCTCTCAGAAGCAGTACTTGTTGCACAAATGCACATGTACTTTTTTGCAAGGCCATTAAACGTAATCTTGCTTAGTTATCACACCACCACATCAGAGCATCTGCAGAGGGATCCAGTGCCTCTTCCTGCAGGTACTCTGCCATTTCAACATTAGCCCGCACTCTTTCCGGTACAGCCTGGGTTTGTCTGTTCTGTAAGTCTGTGGTGGCTTTTTACCTGCATCCAGGTCAGAAAACCATGACCTGTGCTAGCCCTATTTTCTCCTTTAAGTCTGATGGTTTCCAGTACTCCATGACAGAAAAGTCTTCTCACTCAGTTGCTACAACTGTCAGAGCCCTCAGTGTCTCATCCATGCTCATGGCATACCACGATAAGCTGCAGGAGGGGATGACATTCAAGCCGAACCCAAGCGACTAGGATGAGATCTGCGTTGTGACTGCTCAATGCCTTCAACTGCACAGATGTGCTGTCCAAGCCTCTGGCAGGGCAATGGGTATCATGGTGGCACAGGAAAAGGCCCCCTGGCTCAACCTTTCCAGCCTCTCTCACAGCAGTTCCAGTAGACATCAAGAGCCTATTTGGTTCTGCTATTGCCGCCATGCAGCAGTACTGCGAAGAAAAGAAAAGGTGAAGCCTTGCAGATATGTCTCCCCAGAAAGATGCAGACGGTTCCCTCTGCTGTTCCTTGCCAAACCTTTGCACAGTCTCCTGCCTTCAGGATTCCTAAGCACCCTATGACACAAACAGGGCCTTTTGCGAGTCCCTCAATGTAAGAGCTGCTCCATCTAAGAAGTCCCCTCCTCCTAACTCAGCGCACAGGAGTCAGCCAACCCAGACCTCCAAACAGAGTGGGAAGAAAAAGCACCATGCTACCTAGGGCACAGCTGTGGGAAGGAAGCAACCAGAATGGCCAGATGCTGGTTTCTCCATCCCTCAAGAGACAAAGTAACACAACAAGCAGCAGGAGTTGGGGATAACGAGAGGCGAAACCACTAGATCATGTTCTGTTCATGTTAAAGGAAGGTAAAACCTGTCTTGATGTATCATAGGGGTGGGAGGAACATTAAAAAAGTACTTTTGCTGTGTAGTTTTGCTAATGACTTTGGTCCAATGCAGAATAAAGACAGAAATCTAACAACAATATTACAAAGCCAAATATCTAACTTTCCCATTTTCAAATCATCAATGGGGAGCATGGATTGTCTAAGTGACAAACTACTTGTTAGATAAAAAGGACAATAAGTTGAAAGGTAAGTTAGCTAGCTAACTATCTGGATACTTCACCTCAGTTTCCTGGGTATTATGATTAGAGAACACTAATGGCTAAAAATACAACTTAAAATAGTGAATTCTCTCACCCAGTAAGTCTAAGAGACATCACACAACATAGTATATATGACGAATATGCAAGTTTTACATTCACACCTTTTTGAGACATTCAGATCTCACCAGTTGCTGAAGAAGTCACCCAATGACTTTACCACTATTCTAGGCTGATACCACTATTGCTTTCCACTGAGGTGCTGTTCAGTCGAGCATTCTAGAGTATACAGTAACTGATTGGAGGCACCAGATCGTGGTGTGATTTTATGGAGAAATATGGACATATGATCTCCACAGCCTAATGAGCAGAAGGTTCTTATTACCATTACTAACTAACCCATTACCACACCTAGCATGCTGAGTGAGACTGTTTCCTTTCTTAGCTGATCCTGTGACAGGGTAGGCAGAGGTTGAGGTCTATGAAAAAGTATTTGTGCAAAATTCCTCATAAAACTCTTTCACTACCATCATAGTTTCCCCACTGCATTCTGGTACATGAACATAATTTCAGAGTTTCCAAAACACCAAACTAGCATGGCAGAAAGCATACATGCACTAGCAGTAGTACTGATCTGGTAACACTTTATTTTGAGCGGTCCTCTAAAGATGATTAATAAACTCTTAACAGAATATCAGTAACACAGCAACAACTAATAAGTGAAGTAGCAGTAGTGAAGCACCTCATTACATTGATGTAAATGTCAGACAAATGTACTGTTGATACATTACTTAAATTAAGTAGATGTATTGCGTATGTGTTGCATGAAGCAAACTTAATGTTACTTCCATTATGCAAAACATATCCTTAGCCAACCTTACTTAAAACCTAGCCCTGGCCCTAATCCTAGCCCTAACTTTAACCTCGACCCAAAACCTAATCCTACTCCTAACCCTGGCCCTAATCCTAACTTTAACCTTAACCTCAACCCAAAACCTAATCCTAACCCTCACCCTGGGCCTAATCATAACTTTAACCATAACCAAAACCTAATCAAGTTAAACTCCAGTTACAGAATGGTGTCAGCAGCGTGTCTATAACAGCTTGTTAAGGATGTTGAGATGAGCTGTATTAAACCTGTTCAGTGACCTCTCAAGTTAGCATCTATAGATATGAATTTGGACCCTCCAAAAAAAGTGAAAAACAACTGAATTCAGCAGACTATAAACAAATATTATTTACTCGGTTAATTAAAAGACTCGTGATAATCTACTGTATGTATTCACTGCTGCTACATCATTAATAATTGTGTTATGTTACTGAGAATCTGCTGAGTGTTTAATCTAAAAATGACTACTCAAAATAAAGTGCCACCAAGGCATTGAACAATTGAACAGCTGTTCCAAAGCCTTGCCTTAGTCACTACTACATTCGTTTCTCGTTTGTCTTTTTTATACTCAAGATTCTTAGATTCTCCTTATATTATGTAATTTGACTATGGCCTGTTTTCAGCATGTTGCAGACTTTTCCTTAATATACCTTATAATTGATTTTATCCAAGTTTCCTAAACTGCATGACCCTACCCCCCCCCCCCACACACACACACACCACCCCCTGGGAAAAAACTAGCAAATTATCATAGTGGATATTTTTTAAAGAATAACCAAAGTTCTAAACAGTTGTATACATTTAAAAAGTTACTTATTGATTTATTTTGCTGAGACTTTCATGTGACTAAAAACCTCCTTCTGGCCAACAGTAGAAAATGTTAGAATAGGAAAAATACATGGAAAAAAATTTGAAATTTTAGAAAAAGTTGGAAACATTTGGAACTCCAGAAACTGAATTTTTACATATTAAATCTGGTCTAAGTAAGAAGATATGCATGTAAAATGTCCATTAAACTTAAATGTTAGTAATATTATTGTTATTAACTTAACTTTTTTTCCTAACGCTTTGCCTTAAGTGGTCTTGTCTTAGTGGTCTGTGTCATGACAAATCAAGTATTGCTTTGTAAGTCTTTGGAATATACGTCTCCTCATGAGTCACTTGCAAATATACACTACACTGCTTAAAACAGGCTCCTTAAGTACACTACACTGATAGGTCCACAAGAGTTGTATGGCAGAGACTCATATAATGCATTCATTTGGCTCCAAAGCTTGTTCCAGCTGCACTGCACAAGTTAATGTTTTCCCATTTTTGTATGGATATTTTATAAGTCAATCAATCAAGTTAGTTAATCAAGTCCTTTTTGAGTTGAATTGTGTGTTAACTTGAGTATTGGACAACACGAAACTGTGTAGGTTGACAAGTAGGGACTGTAGTGGTACATCAATTAAATTATTGGAATTTTGACCACGCATGTTCCCGGAGGGCGTCCTGTAGCAGCTGCCATCATCAAAAGCAGCACCTTGTGTCCTAGACGACACCAAGGAACCTCCTGCTGCGTCGACAGCACCAGATGGTGCTCCAGAGGGTGCCCAGAAGTAGCCACCCTCAACGATAGTGCCACATGGCATCCCAGAAGATGCCAGGAAACCTCAAGTCACTTCAATAGCAACACCCAAAGCCCTGGGGAGTGTCTGGGAGCAATAGGTCTTATCAACAGCACTGCCTAGTGTCCTGGAGGGCCCCTGTTGTCTACAGGTTGGGTCTACACTGCCGGTCTGAGGCCTCCAAGGGACTGGACAAAGTCAGCCCCAGGCCTGACAGCGCTTTCAGCGGTGACACCACTTCCCTCACCCTGCCTCCTCGGCTTGAGACCAGACATCAGGCCTCACCTCACCTTTGACCCTCGTGGCTGTGCTCTAAGGGGATGGCAATGGGGCAGTGGAGAGTCAGAGTGACCGCGTATCCCTGAGCACATGACGCATGCTTCAATCACGCACGGTAAAGAGCACTGACTCTTTAAAACTGGCACTCCTCTCAAGTGAGGGAGAAAGAGAGGATGCTTTCCTCCTGGCCACACACATCAAAGAGAGCCAAAGAAACTGAGGAGGCATTATATCACAACTGTATCATAAAAAGTACTGGCCTGTCCACTGTTGATACTACTTACCCGTCTGTTGAGAAGCCAAAACATGGACTAAAATGATGACAAGGGACTCTTCATAGCAAGGCTGAGTAAGCCATGTTTGAGTTGAGTTTTGGTTTATATCATGTGTAAATGTGTAAATAAAGCACTGTGGATGACTAGTTGGCTGGTGTTGCATGTGGGCTGTCCTGGGCCTAGTTCAGCAGTTTCCAGTGGGTGTGCCCATGCAACAGGTTAAAGAAGACATGATAGGACCATTTTCATGCACTTCTGGTGAAAACTTTCATGTGGACTGCTATGGATTATTTCACCACATTTCCAGAGGCCTATGCACTGCCACGCCAGGAGGACAAGACCATTATCAATGCCTTGGTTGAAAGTTCATGTTCATTAGGTTCATTAGTCCATCCAAGGCCACAACTTTGAAACCAGGGTGTTCACTATTATGTGCAGGTGGCTGGGTATCAGGAAGACAGGCTCACAAGTACCAACTATTATCTAAACAAATCTCGTGACTTACAAAGATACAATATATTTACATACACACATGCCTTAACATTCTAGAAACGTTCTGTTTTCGCAAACAAAGTCAGCATGGTTTCCAAATGTGTGTGTGTGTGTGTGTGTGTGTGTGTATATATATATATATATATATATATATATATATATATATATATATGTATATATATATATATATAATATACACACATAACTTTGCAAAGGTAACATCTTAAGACAGCATCACATAGAAAGTCACTGAGCTCCTTTCCCAACAAATATCAGCAACAAAACTTTTTATTAATATTTTTCTCATTTAGTTTTTGCTTGAGGACAGTCCCCCTAGTTATTTTACATATTTGTAAATTTAATAAGGTACAAATAATGTCCATCTGCATTAATTATACTGCTTTATAATAATGTCTAATGACAGCATACTTCTGAATATTGAGTGTTTATTCTTATTTTCAAACTGAATCTGTTCAATAAAAATGCAATGTCCTGATAAGACCCAATGGACTGGGTAGCCCACAAACATTTACATTGCATAGGGTCTCCAAAATCAGAGAAGGTAACTACTGCTTGATGAACATTCTCACATGCAGTGCTAAATTAGTAATATACTTGAGTAAATCAGTTAACTGGATTATTCATGTCTGTAGGTTAGTGGCTTATATGATTTAGGCTAATGACAAGAGCTCTTTGGCAAGCAAAGACCATTTCACACTTGTCCCAGCTGTAAGTTATTTCAAATATTTAATGCAAATGCCTGGAGTCTGCATGGCTTCAAGCACTGAAAACAACACTGTAAAGGGGAACGCTTAAAGCATCAAGTGCGCTCACGTCATGCCTTTATGGACTCACTGGACAAAAGTGACTATTTTAATTTGAAACACTCCTAATTTCACTGTAGCACTGGGTATGAAGTACATGTACATTACAAGTACACAATAAAAATGCCTAAAAGAAACCATCAAGCAGTACAGTTATGTTTATGCTGTTTATTACTTTTATTTAGCTGAATAAAAATTTAGGAATAGAGTTAAAAAGTAGTTTTAATTAAACATAGTCTACACGTTATGAGTAAGAAAAAACATTAAAAAGCTATTGAAATAAATGAACAAGACGAGTCATGTATTCAATTCTGAACACAACTCTGTCCTTGAAGAATTGCTTTTGAATATTTTACCACTTAAAATAACTTTGAGGGCCTTCCTAAACCATGCATAGAAGAATGCATACACAATGGGATTGCAGGCAGAATTTGAATAACCAATCCAAGTGAGGAAATCAATAATTTGTGGTGGATCGTTGTGATCTTGATACATGACAGCCAGACTGTAAATTAAAAGCGGTGCCCAACACACTAGAAAAGCTCCCATAACAGTGGCTAATGTTTTAGTGGCTTTTTTCTCTGCTTTACTAATAGTGGGTTGCCCTTTGGATGAATTAATTTGAGAGAATGTGCTATGTATTGAATGTGACTGTCTCTGTGCAACAAGATATATTTTCCAGTATATGCTTAGTGTGACAATGGTGGGGAGATACATAGAGAAAAGTGACATCATCAAAGTTGCCATAGGCCCAAGAATAATCATACATCCCCCCTCACACATAACAACACCATAATCATTAATGCCTTCAATACGGAGCTCCAGAAATATCACCCCAAATCCCACAGCAGTAGAAACACTCCAACAAACAATGATCATGAAGAGAGTAGTAAGAGGAGTCATTTTACTGTGGTACTGCAGGGGGTGACATACTGCATAATAGCGCTCAACAGAGATAAATGTAAGATTTAAAACAGATGCTGTACACAAAGTAATGTCAAGGCTGCTGTGTATTTTACAAAAGAAGCTCCCCAAATACCAGCACGTCTCCACAGAGCGTATCATGCTAGGAGGCATCACCACCCCTCCTACAAGCAGGTCAGCTACAGCCAGAGAGAGAGTGAGGTAGTTAGTTGGTGTGTGCAGCTGCTTGAAATGAGTTATGGCTATGATCACCAGAAGATTTCCAAATAATGTAAAAAGTACAATGACACCAATGACAAAATAAGTTGCAATTCTTACACTCAGCGGATACACATACTGCTGACAAGAGTTAGGATGATGTTCATAACAAAGAGAAATGTTTCCTCTGCTTCCACTTTGGCTTAAATAGTTCTGTAAGTCAATCATTTCTGGTGTGCTTTTCTCTCTGTGGAGAAAAAGGAAATAAAAAAGATTTTATGAAAATTACATTAATTAGGTAATAACTTACTGTTCTTGTTGTAGATTTCATTGCCATTATATCTTTTTCCCACTGGTGTTGCAGTACACCAGTGTTGCAGTTAAAAAATATAAATGTAACAATAGAAGAGGTAAGGATTAAAGATTTGGAACATAGTGGCATATCTGTCAGGCCTAACCTTTGTCTGAAAAAGAAAGTAAAAGCCAAACAGAGGGGGAAGCAACTTTCATTTATACTCTTATAGGCGTGTACTCTTTTTACCTAATACACTCCTCCATGCAGGACACTTGACACTCCTCTGATGTTCAACAAATCTCTAACTGTTCTCAACAGAATAAAATAAACACATTAATTCTTTGATGTACATGCAAGAACAGAAATAAATGAATGAAGCTGATGTTTTAAAATGAATGAAATTAAAACGATGTGTAATATAATGACAAACATAAAATTTATTATAACTATTTGGAAAAAGTCTTCTGTAGAGGAGATCAAAAACATTAATTCATAGAGTTGAGGACGTTAAGAGATAGGATATTAAGAGTGGGTTTGTGGCAGTGCAATCTTCTAGGAACAGCTTTCCACTACATTTTGGAACATGGTTACAGGGACTACTTTCAGCCCTTGTTATGCATTTTCTGTACTACATTTACATATTATCCACAACTGATATACAATATTAAACTAAAAGGACTAGATAGAGACATCTCTAGGAATCCCCGAGAAGAGCTGCTGTTCATACATTTTTTTAATGTTTACTGTACAGACCACAAGCTGTGGAGTGTATTTACCTAAATTTTAATTACAGTGAATTCAGGTAAAGAAACTTTTCAGTACAAAAATAAACAATGTATAAAAGAATAATGTCCAAGCACTTTATTGTCCCGTATAAATGCTTTTAATAGTGCAAACAAAACTGTGTCATTTTTATGGCATTTCTCCAAGCCCAGTTTGTTCCATGTGCAACAAAAGTAGACTCCAGAAAACATTTTAATGAAAATGCCCTTTGCCTTCAGCCACTCCCACCACTCTGCCCATGGCCTCCCATCTTCTTGGATATGTTAGCTCCAGTGTCTAAAGACCCTGTGACTGATTCAGTATTACTAGCACTCACAGTGGCTCCTGTCTTCCCAACCAAAGCATCCTCTGGCTCAGAATTCCTCTGGCTCCAAGGGACGACACCCCAGAAAGACAACTTGCATCAACTACATCGCCATTAACACATCGGTGAAAATACAACTCAAACCAGCTGTACAGCCATTAACACACTAGAGCAGTTTTCCATTACCTTGTTAAGAAACCTACAGAAAAAGGCCCTCTACTTTTAGTGCGCTCATCTGAGTAAAATGGCCATTTAGTTTTGGGTTTCTACATTCCCAAGCACTGAACCAGGCCTGCAATGTTTGTTTTGTTCTTTTTGTTTTCTTCCTCATTTCTGTGTTTTTTGAGTGTTTGAGAGAGTGGGCCCACGTAATACAAAAACTTAACCACGGATGAATGATCATACGCTATATGGATAAAAGTATTGGGACCCCTACACAATACACCTACACAAGCTTTCATGAATCTCATTCTAAATCCATAGGCAATAATATGGAGTTGTTCCCCATCTTGCAGCTATAACAGCTTCCACTCTTCTGGGAAGCTTTCTACAAGATTTTGGAGTCTGTCTGTGGGAATTTTTGCCCATTTATCTAGAAGAGCATTTGTTAAAACTTCTGTTATTTGAAATCTATGTGTGTTTTAAAGAGGACAGTAATGAGTGAATTTACAGTAAAAATGTAGCCTGCTTCAACTTGCCCAATAGACATCAAGACCTTCATAAAAGTGGCAAAGTGTTTTAAAGCAGGGTAAACATGAAACTTAAGTAGAGCACAGGGCTCCCAGTACCAGGCAAGAGATTAAATGCAGTAACCAGCATCATCATATGCAGCTCCAAATAAACAAACACACTGGGCTGTAAAAGTTGACTGACAGACTAAAACTGGGTAAGAGTGCTGTTCACATAAGGGAAGATAACCCTTAAGGGAAGATAACCCCAAACCACATGACCTAAGAAGACATCAGTGAATTAGCATAATTTAAGCCAATGGAAGTACAATCACAGGAATTAGAATGCATTTATGCAAATGATAAGTGAATTTCGCAGTGTGACAGTAATTCCAGTTGGTTACAGGGTGCGGTAAAAGTTTATTGCCTTGTGTAGCATCCATACTCAAGCTACATGCTAAAATAAGTGATGAAAAGATTTTGTATTCTAACAAAATGCATAAGAACATGCACCAGGGTGTCATTACATTGGTTGAAATACTTGCAAACAATATTTGGTCTATAAGGAAACACCCCCAAAATATCAAACAGCTGGCATGGTAGTTGTCATGCAGAGTTATATTTCTACACATTTGTGATGTTAGGAGACTTTGAATTGTTTAAATATGGTACCATGGTATAGGCTGTTTGTATTTAATTTATTCAAGAGCTATTCCATCATGCAATTTGTCTTCAAGACACCTCAGGCCATGCAGTCTGAGACTCCTGGTCAAAGGGGATCCAGTAAAGGTTTTTTGCCCAGGAGCCCAAGATTAACTGACCTGTCCCTGATGTTACATTTCTGTTGCTGATCATTTCAGTGGATGAAAATTACTTTTCATATTTTATCTTTTAATTTGAAACTCAACAACTGAAGAACAACATCACAACATGAAATGGAAAAATATCACTTTTGCCTATATACAGATATACAATTGTTATAATATGATTTGTCTTTGATCTGTTGGTGGATCTTCTCTCATTAGTGACAAAAATCTAATTCCAAGCAGTTTAGTTGTAGTACGTTTCCACCAGCAGCTTTGGCACTGCATCCTGTTTCATTCCAGATTCACATAGTGCATGACAGCTAAAATCTGATGCAGCAAAGTCTACCTCACTACCTTCACCTAAGGTAGAGGGGCATCGATGGGCAGTCCCTCTCTTTTTCTTTTCCAAAACCATGACAGTTTTACATAATAATAAAAATATCTGGCTGCATACATAACAGTTAAGAGTGAAGATTTGGACAGAAAATACTTGATTGGATGCAGCTGACATAGTTTGAGCAGGAAGGCAAATTTTAAATCCTATGGTTTTTAGGTCACTTGGTAAAAAAACTAGCTTGCTAGAAAGAAAAACTTCCTGGCTCATGTGGACAAGTGATGCACATTAAGAAAATTACGCATAAAAAAGTCTGTGTTTTATTCTCATCAAATATGAATAAGGAAAAGCAAACATCTTTCATGACACTATGGACATAGTGTCAACTGTACAGACAAGACTAAGTATTACATACAAAGTTTCTGTTTCTTACATTATCTATACTGTATGAGCAAAATATCTTTGTGTGTAATATCCAGTAAACATACATAAGAGTAGTACTAAAAAATAAAAAAGCATCAGTCAGTAAAAAAAGAAAGATCAAAAAAAAAAATCAGAGCAAAAAGTTTTTAAGTAAAAGTAAACCAAGTGGTGTGAACATTACCATGAATTTACTGAGCATGACCAGTGATATACTGTTCTGAATACAGCTTTGTTCTTGAAGATTTGTTTGTGAATATTTTGCCATATAGAATATGTTTAACAGCCTTTCTAAACCACCTGTAAAAGAATGCATACACAATCGGATTGCATGCTGAATTTGAATATCCGATCCAACCAAAGAAATCAAACAGCTGTGGTGGACTTTTCAAACCATGATATATATCGACAATACTGTAGATTAAAAGTGGTGCCCAAGACGCTAGAAATGCTCCCATAACAATAGCCAATGTTTTAGTGGCTTTTCTCTCTGCTTTACTAGTATTCATCTGAGAAAGTGTGCTGTGAATTGAACGTGATTGTCTCTGTGCTACAAGATAGATTTTCAAATATATGCTTAGCATGACAATGGTGGGGATGTACAAGGTCAACATTGACATCATCAAAGCTGTTAAGGGCCCAAGAATCATCATACATCCCCCCTCACACATAGCATCACTGTAATCTTCAAGGCCTTGAATACGGAGCTCCAGAAAAATCACCCCAAATCCCACAGCAGCAGAAACACTCCAACAAACAGTGATCATGAACAGAGTAGCAAGAGGAGTCATTTTACTGTGGTACAGCAGGGGGTGACATACTGCATAATATCGCTCAACAGAGATAAATGCAAGATTTAAGACAGAAGCACAGCACAACATAATGTCAAGGCAAGCATGAATTTTACAAAAGAAGCTCCCAAAATACCAGCACGTCTCCACAGAGCGTATCATGCTAGGAGGCATCACCACCCCTCCTACAAGCAGGTCAGCTACAGCCAGAGAGAGAGTGAGGTAGTTAGTTGGTGTGTGCAGCTGCTTGAAATGAGTTATAGCTATGATCACCAGAAGATTTCCAAATAATGTGAGAAACATAATAACACCAAGAACAAGATAAGTTACAAATCTCACAGTCAGTGAGTAGACACTCTGCTGACAAGAGTTAGGATGATGTTCATAACAAAGAGAAATGTTTTCTATGCTCTCATTTTGGCTTAAATAATTCTGTAAGTCAATCATTCTAGATCTGCTTTTTTCCTGTGGAGAAAAACAGAATAAAAATAAAACATGGATATAACATATTAATGTTAAAAAATAATTACAACAGAATTTGCTGGTCTTAGTGTAGATTTTACCAACACTGGCTTACTTTACTGCAGTACACCTCTTGCATAAACTTCAGAACGGCAGAATACTTCAATAATATTGCATGTTCATGCTGTATTTTTACATGCATAAGATAAGGATGAGTGAGTCTCACTACATGCATATGATTTTAGATGTGCATAAACATAATTGCTTCTGTGTCAGGCATAATCTCTGCTTGCATGTAAGGGCAGAAGCCACACAAAGGAGACAGCAGCTCTTATTTGTACTCTTACCGATGTGTACTCCTTTCCACCAAAACACTCCTCCATGCTGGACCCTTGATACTCTCCGATGATCAACCAATCTCTGACTCCCCACAAGAGAAACTCTTTATTTAAATAAATTTACTCTCTCTTTAATCAGTCATGCCAGAATAAAACAAAAGGTTAAACTGTCAGCATTCCAATTCATGCTAAAAGCATTTCATGGGGTTGAGGTCAGGACTTCCACTCTTCCACAGCAAACCATTTCTTTACAGACTCTGCTTTGTACATGCTGAAACAGGAAAAGGCCTTTCTCAACTAGTTGCCACAAAGTTGGAAGCATACAAAAACATCACGGCACGCTGCATTATGATCTCTAGAAAGCTTTACAGTTGGCTCTATGCATTCAAGCAGGTAATATTCTCCTGGCCAAAGAAAGAGAAGCATTCACCTCTAGAGGACATTTTCACTGCTCCATAGTCTAATTGTGATGTGCTAAACTTCACTACAATTAATGTCTGGCACTGAGCATAGGGATCTAAGGCAGTGGTTCTCGATCCTAGCTCTGGAATATCACTGCCCTGCAAATAGTAGTGTTTTCCTGCTCTAATACACCCAGTTCATCTCAGGAAGAGCTTTTTAATTTGTTAATAACTTGCATCTTATTTAATGCAAAAAAACTCTAAAAAGAGCAAGGCAGTGGAAGTCTAGGACCAGGATCGAGAATTACTAGTCTAAGGCTCGTATGCGGCTTCTCAGCCATGGAAACACAATCAATGAATCTCTCAATAAACAGTTGTTTTGCTGAAGCTGCTTCCAGAGGAAGTTCACTACTGCAGTAAGTGCTGCAACTAAGGCCAAACATTTTATGCACTATGCATTTGAGGACCCCCCCTTCAGCAGTACTGTGGACTCATGTAGCTTACCACTTAGTAGGTATTAGTAGGTATTTTTTGAAACCTGAGAAAAGGACTCCAGGAAAGCCCAGGACAGAGAAGACCAAAGAAACACCGAGAGGAACATTCGAGGGGTTAGGTCTGGCACAGCCCAGACAGAATGGACACCAGGAGAAAACTCGAAAATCTTTACCAAATTACCAGCTTAGACTTTAGAATCAGAATCACTTCACTTTACCAAGTATGCTACATATACAAGGAATTTGTCTTGGTGAGTGCACACATTTATGACATGCAATATGCTGTGGTGTCAGAACACACCTGTGTTCTGTGAGTTGAAAACTAAGAAGGTAGCTTGTTCAGCAATCTTTTTGCAGGTTAGTTTTAGGCTGTGTATAGTTATTCACTGGGTGTATTTTGCAGACACTCTTATTCTGAAGGATGAGGCTAGGAAGTGTGAGGTGTGTTTTGGAGAGGAAGCCTAGTGAGGTAAGAGTGAGTGCCAAGAGCTAGCACACAGTGTGTTTTCCCTTTTGTGTTGTATGCTGTTTTCTGCTGAAAGTAAGGCTGAGTATGGACCACAACCTTGACTCCTCTAAGTTTCTTCTGAGAATCCCCTCTGTTACAAGGATGTCAGGACTGGCAGGAGAAATAGCGATGAGAAGTAGGTCCCTGAGGAGGCAAGAGGCTCTAGCAGAGTGCCAGTAAGGTCTCACTGAGCGGGGATGCAGAACGGTGGAGGGAGGCAGAGGAAGAGAAGAAGCTGTAAAAAACCAGGCCCCGCAGGCTGGGGGAAGAGTTCACTCTCCCAAAGACAATGAGGCTGCGAAGACACTGCGAAGCATGAGTGACTGGGTGACATTCAGGTCAACTTGAAGAAATAGCTGACCTGCTGCTGTCAACAGGTCAGTTAGGCATATAGTGGTTGGTATAGTGTATTGGTTAACACCTCTGCCTTCTATGCTTTGGACTGGGGTTCAACCCCCTGCCTGGGTAAGTACCCCACACTACACCAATAAGTGTCCTTAGGCAAGACTCCTAACACTATCATCGCCTGTGTAAAAACAATCACATTGTAAGGTGCTCTGGATAAGAGCGTCTGCCAAACGTCATAAATGTATAATGTAAATGCAGTAAACTTATATTTTCTTGGAAGCATACAAAAACATCATGGCATGCTGCATTATGATTTCTAGAAAGCTTTACAGCCGGCTCTATGCATTCAAACAGGCAAAATTCTGCTGGTCAAAGAAAGAGAAGCATGATTCATCTCTAGAGGATATTTTCACTACTCCATAGTCTAATTGTGATGTGCTAAACATCACTACAATTAATGCCTGGCACTGAGCATGGGGATCTAAGGTTCTCGATCCTAGCTCTGGAATAAGGACTCCTAACACTACCATCGCCTATGTAAAAACAATCACATTGTAAGTTGCTCTGGATAAGAGCATCTGCCAAATGCCATAAATGCAGAATGTAAATACAGTGAACTTATGTCTCCCATGGCAACCTCACCCAATGCTGCTATCAGCCCCTGACGTCTCTGTGTACATTGTGGTCGAAGCCACCCCAACAACTCCAATCCATCTACCTGAGGTAAGGAGTTATGATGGTGTGGGGAGTGGGCCAACATACCTGCAGCAACTCAAGGTTGTTGTGGCAGTGGGGGGTGGGTGGACCAGGTGAAGGTGGCACAGTTAGACTGCAGTGACAGCAAGTGCAAGAAGAGGCAGAGAAGTGGTGCAGAGACAAAATGTGATACAGCGAAGGAGTTTGAAAAGTAGATAACTGTTGTGCTGGCAGTGCAGGAAGAGGGTACACCGTGCCAGTCAATGCTGTAAACCTAAGCTGGTGAAGAAATGGAAGCCAGCCATGAAGATCAGCAGCCAACATGGACTCTGGATTGGATGCAGCACAGATAGGAAACAGCTCATTGACTGTTTCACTGACACCAGCTTGTCAATGTCGCTGCTACATCCAGGCATGCTCCCTCACACTTCCCACTTCCCAGTTGGTACACGTGTCCCTGCAATCCATTCTACCATAGCTCACGGTCAAGAGCTCTCCGGTCCGATTGTCATTTTCACTCTGGGGGTGTGAGGCATTGCGAAAAAAATGTGCAGATTCCTGTCATGGCCAACACTGAGAAAACACTGCCCCTACACCTTTATCGAAAGCACTGACCTTCACCAAGAATGTTTATGAAGCAGCTGCGGTGCTAAAATTGGACCAACCGAAAAGATGTGGGGCCTGGCCAGTCCATGACCGCCTCAGTCTTGGTTGGATCCATGACCAGTTGGCCTCTGGATACCTTTAAATCTGAGAAAAATGACTGACAGAGCATGGAAATGAGATTTCACTAGTTTGACATAAAGACTGTTCCTCATAGAAAGCTGGAGAATCCTTCTAATGTAAATTCTGTGTTCATCTAGGGAACAACTATAAATGAAAATATCTACCAGAGACATGAAGATGTACAGATCTACAGCCTCCCTTAAGGTCTCAATAATATAACACTGGAAGCATTCATCAGTACAAAGGGCAGAACCAGGTACTCATAGTGGCCTGATCGAACGACAAAGGCCATCTTTCACCCATTACCTTCCCAAACCTGGATGTGGTTGTAGGCACTGCGGAGGTCCAGCTTATAAAAAACTGAAGCCTGTTGCAGCGCCTTGAAGGCTGAGACCTCAAGGGGCAGGGATCTTTTACTGTAAATCTGTTTAAGCCTTTGTAATAAATGCAGTGATGAAGGCACCTATCCTACTACAAATAAGAAACTGGCCCCTGCCATATAAGGCCCAAAGCCAAAGCTTCCTGGAAGTAGTCCTTCATGGCTTTCCATTCAGGGCCCAACAGAGGAAGTAGCTGCGGGATCCCAGGACAAGAAGCAGCTGAGAAGCATTGCTCTGTGCTGCCCAATTTGCAGCATATGGGGCTAGGTGTGCTGTGAGACCACACCTAGCCTATGAATGCTCTGAGGCGACCCTGCTGATGTTGTTCCCAAGAAGTGACATTGAGGAACACCCCAGAGATTAGAGGAGAAGGACCCAAAATGGACACCAGTTTTTCCCTGTAACTGACCAGACTACCTGTAGTATAGGCACCTGCCCTCAAGCATGTTCCTGATAAGAAAGATAAATGAGCCCCAAATGCATTATCTGGTTTCCCACATTGGGCAGTTCTGGATGTGGCAGTGATAGGGTGGAAAGCATTATAACATTGTGGAGGGCACTCAACTTCCCGGTCCATGGGGTGGTCCCACAGCCTGTTGTCCAATCTGAAGGCTACCTCATTTAGATTCATTTATTACTAGGCTTATGCTGATAAAAAAAAATATATCATAACAATAATCAGACAATTATCACAGCTCATAATATTGTTATAAATGTTTCAGAATGAATTTTGAGTGTAATGAAAATACATCTGGAAAGTTAAATACGTGCGATATTTACAGAAAATTAACCATTGTCCACATAATGATGCTCAGTGGGTGTCGACTGATTCAGTGGAAGAAAATTACTTTTTGTATTTTGTCTTTTATTTTGAAACTGAAAAGCTAAATATTTACCCTTTATGTATACAAGTGGAACACTGAAAAAGGGCGGCATAAAATGGAAAAAAAACGTTTGCTTATTTAAAGGTACATAAATGTTAAATATGATTCAATTAACAACAATCAATATTATCACTAAATATCACTGAAATTCATATACCATTTCTGTTCTGTTAAATATGCATGTTCTTCAGATGGTGTGGTCTCAAATCTTTTGGTGGATCAATTTTCTTTCATTAGTAAAAAAAAATTTGAATGTTATTACAAAGCTTACATTTCTATGTTTTCTACTTTATTTGTTGTAGACTTCATGATACTGTACACATATTGGCAGATG